ATTATTATCGCTGTCGTCGTCACTATCACGATCGTTATCATTTGACAAAGAGTTGACAATTCTTTGCTGTTGTTGTTGTTGTTTTGCGTCCAGCAGCAGCTCGTCAATCATGAATTTGATTCGTTTCGGTGGCGCTAAGTCCAGTGGTCCATCGCAATTTGTTTTGCCAGCCAGCGGCGCACTTGAACGCTTTTCAGCATTTCGAGCCATTTGAGATCTATTATGAGTTCAATTAGTAGGCGATATTGGTTGTCGGTTGCTAAATTGCCGCATTCACGATATATGAAAATGGACGAAAAGTGAGATTGATAGATCACAAAAATTTGCAAGATTTTAGCAAAGGTGTAATGAGGCGAGCGATGGACTAGTGGAATGGTCGGAATGAACTGGAAGTAAAATATTTCAACCAGAATTTCAGGTGTTTCAGCAGATGGAATTTCTCATTAAGGATTTTTGATCACTGCTTTTGGAATACTACTGAAGTTTCAGATGGGGTTTTGTGAACGTCAACTATAATGATCCTAGATTTCAGTTTAGTGATAACAGTATCAGTACTAATGAAAATAGTGGTCAAAATGAGTAAGATATTCTCAGCACTTGCATAGGAAAAGCATTCATCGAACTTGATTCGTTGACATAGATGGATTTCGTGTGAAGAAAGATGCGCGACTCAACAGATTGGGTTATTATGATTGATAACGTCAACTGAATCGAGCAGGTCAAAATTCAAAATCAAATAGCTTCAAGTGAATGTGTTGTATTAATTATAACGAGGCTTGAATCTCGTAAGGATGTGGATTCCTGAAAGGTTGTGGATTCCAGTTTTATTCCAGTAATCTTAAGATAAACAGGATAACGGGTGGTACAAATGTGCTATTGATATGTAACAAAAGCAATAGCAAAATGATACTGATTCGTCGAATAGAATGAGAAGCTGAGCAGCAGTAAATTTGTCAGGAAATAAAATCGCTTTCACGCTTGATACTTGCCGTTTAGCAGTTGACATACGCATATGTACACCTCAGGCAAGACAATTTCACTCATTGGATGACTTGTTAAAAATGGGCGGTACACCTAGTTAGTGACAGCGAATCAACGTCTCAGCTGCTTACAATGTGGGTGGGATCTGGTAGAGTGTTGAGCGATAATAAAGAGAGACTGGGGAATGCAATAAATGAGCTATGGCGATTTTGATTGGTTTTGATACAATAATTTCAGAAATGTTTTTCGACGGCATTTTATCAAAAATTCGTGAATGAGGTGATAAAATCGGTGGAAATTTTGAAAATATCTTGAAAATCGTTTCTTAAATTCATGATTTGCACAGCTTCATGTCCCTCGTTTGATGATTTTGTATGATAGTTTGTAAATGTTCTTTACCTTATTACTGTAACCGGTGCTATCAGTGATATGAACGTTATCACAAAATTCATCGTGTTGACTATTGCTTGACCGTAGGTAAGTGTTTATCTGTTCACGTTGAATGATTTGTTGTTTCAAAAAATATCCTATAAACGTCTTATCAAGTGACTGCAAAACGGATCTTAATAATCCTAAGAAATCTTAAGAGAACGGATCTTAACGATCTATTTCCTACGTTAAAAAAATTATAACGTGAATCGTTGTTATTTTATGCGAAACGAAATTTCATTATGAAATTATTACTGGTCAAATGTAGATTGCGATCTTTAATATCGTCCGATGGATGATATACGTTGGTGAGTGAAAACTTAAAGATTCGTAAATTTTTATGCATTTTCATATGGTTTCCTCAAATTCTATGAG